GGGCCACCCGCGCCCTGCTGCGCGCTGGGCCGCTCTGGCTGTGCTCTCCCTGGCTGTGCCCTGCCTCTGCTGCTACGCGCCCCTGCGTGCCTGCCACTGGGTGGCGGCGCGATGCGGCTGTGCCGGCTGTGGGGGTCGCCACGAGGAGGCAGCGCGGTGAGGACGGCCTAGTGGGTCCGGTCCCCGGACCAAGGACCCAAAGTTGAGGGTCCCGGACCCCGGACTCCGTTCAGACCCCCAAACTCAAACCTAGGCACACCCGCAACTTGGAGCTCGAGTTTGGTTTGAGACCCCAGATCTGGAACCTGGACCCTAAACCTAGGATTGTGAGACCCCAGACCCAGTTTCATTGGGATGTCTGTCCATGAGGTCCCAGGCACCTGAGTTCTGGCGTCCCCATCCCTCCTCCCCCACCCTTGGCCTAGACTGAGGAGATTCAAGGCATCCCCAGGCTCCACACCTCAGGCAGGCCTGGGAGCACATGGATCCCTGACAGACACAGGGCCCTGAACCCTCAGATTAACAGCCCCAGAATTAGTCAGAAGTTGCCAATACCTGACGCTGCCTGTATACAGCTACTTCCAGATCTTGAGACCACAGGACCCAGAATCACCCTGAAATGGTCCCTAAATGCTCACCTAAAACCTGGGTCACCCATATCAGATATTCTTGTAGCCCCAGGACCCCTGAAACACTGAGCCCTCTTAAGATGTCATGAGTGCTTGCATATGCTCAAACTGATGTGCTCTGACCAAAATGACTAGGGAGACCCATCTCAGAGCACTGCTCCCCTCCCACCAAGATCCAGATATCAGACTCCCAGATGCTCCAGGAACCAGGGATCAAAGACCTCTATAGACCCACCCACCCCAAGCCAGTGTTTCCAGGAGCTTTGTATCTCATATGTAGGAGTCTGAGGTGCCTAGTACTCCCAGATAGAGGACTAAAGGCCACTAACACCTCAGGGCCCAAAGACACTGGTCCCAAGTCTTCAGCCCTCTTGGACTTGGATTTCAAGCCCCAGAATGTCCCGGAATCTTTGGCTGCTTTGTACCCACAGATCCCCAATCTTCTAAAGGTTGGGAGCCCAGCTCCCAGAAGATGGGATGTTCATGACAATGCACACCTCTGACTCCTTGTCCCCCAGTCCCTGAGTGATACCCAAGGTGCTTTAGGAGCACTGGATCCAAGACCCCAAGGTGCCACTGACCTTCCAAATTCAGGGCTCAAGCCTACACAACATTGGGATTGTCCGTGACCCCAAGACCTTGGTCCCTCCATACCAGAGACAGATCTGAGGTGCCTCAGGGCCCTAGCATATCCAGATCTGATTTCTCTGGACTGAAACCACTCACTCTAGCCTGATACTCCCTGAGACCTACTGCCCCTGGAATTCTGCTATCCATAAGCCCCTGAGACCCCGAGGTCCCAGACTCTGGAGTTCTGGTCCCAAGGGCCCCAGCCCAAGCCCCCAGCATCCCACAGAACAATCCCTTTGCCCTAGGAAAACCTACCATTCCGAGCTCATGTTCCTGGATTCTGGGACCACTGAAAGCTCCCCAACTCCTGTCTCTAGGACCAAGCATCGCCACAGATGATTTTGCAGGCTGTTCACCAAGCAAAGGCACATGGCCGAGGTGGTGAGTGGGGCTAGAGTTCACACTTCACTCTGCTGGCCACACTGTGCCCTCAGTGGAAGGTGCGCCTTTTTCTAAGTTCCACAAAGGCAGCTTTTGGGCTAGCTATGGCTCTGCTGGTGTGTGTCTCTCTCTCGCTCTCTCTTCCCCCCAGCCTTGTGGACTCTCCCGCAAGCCCAACCTTGAGCCCTAGCTCTAGTCCAAGCTATGTCCTGCCTTCCATTAACCCCTTCTCCTCCATCTTAGAGTTGGGGGTTGCTTTAGAAAGTTTGAAAGCTTGTTTCATGGCCCTCAGACCCTTCTTTGGGGGGGAGGGGGCTGCTAGTTTTTTTCCCCTTAGTGGAATGTAACTTCCAGAGTACCTCAAATCTGATGGCCTGAATGGGGGTGTGTGGTGGGGGGTGGTCAAGGTCTTGGAGCAAGACAATCTCAATGTTGTATGGGCTTGGGACCTGCATTTGGTCCCAAGCATCTGGAAATGTGCACTTACCTTTCTTCATTACCCAGACTTGGATGGCCTTGTGGGAGTTCAAGGGATAAGTCAAGGGGGCCAGAGGGATAGAGCCTTCTGTCACTCCTTTAAATTATTAACTATTTATTACATCCGGAACCTGTGAGATTCAGCTCTCCCAACCAGACCCTGGAATGGGTGAGAAAAGGGGGGTGTCCCTCCCATCCCCACTCTGCCCAGCTCTCATCACTGTCAGACCCACCAGAGCTGAGGGTGGAGGGACTGGGGGCTGGGGCTGCCTGGATCCTCATGACCCTCTCTGTGCCTCGGTCTCCTCCCTTCCGTGGTGGGCGGGGGGGAAGCTCCATTCTTAACCTACCTCGTTTTGGGGAGGGGTGGGACGGGGGACCAGAGTGCTGTAAGGTGCTGTGGGATCTGCGGATGAAGCGGTGGGGGCTGGGGAAACCTTCCCCCAGCCCTCACCTCCCAGCACCACCTCTCCCAGGTTTCCCAGTCCTGCTCCCTGCTGTTACCCACCTCTGATCCATGAATTCTCTTCATCACCCCCAAATTGGGTGCATGGAGGGCTGACCCTGGGAGCCAGGAAGACCTCAGACCCTGGAGCCCCCAGGCCTAATTTCCCAGCTGCTTGCCCCTCCGATTGGATGCTTGGCCCCCAGACATTTATCTTCCTGATCTTGATTCCCAAGCCAGTCTGTGATCTCAATATTGTTATTGTCAGTGCAGGCTGAAGTGGTGGGGGAGGATGGGGGCCAAAGACCCAGCCTTGTCATCGGGGGAGGGGGCATGAGATATCCGCTCCAAGAAATGTTGTGACAAAGTCTCAGCCTGTGTTTTTTATTTGCATCGATGTGCCCTATCCACTCACCTTCCGGAACCACTACCCAATTCTTTCTTCACATCCTTTAGTACCAAGCATACCCTCTAGCTGAGTTTTATACATTTAGTCACTCAAGTACATTTATTGAACAGAGCACCCATTATATGCCAAAGCCCTGTTCTAGGCTCTGGGGATAAAGCAGTGAACAGACAAAAATCATTTCTGACAAGGAGCTTATGAACTTTATAGTGAAAGAGACAAATGACATGTGAGAAATTATATGCACTACAGAGAAAAAGTGGAGATGGGGGATGAAGTCAATTTTAGCCGGGGTGGTCCGGTTAGGCCTCACTGAAGAGCATTTGAATAAAGTCCTGAGGGAGGTGAGGGAATCCTGTGGATGTATATGGGAAAAACAATGCAGGTAAAAGGAACAGTCAGTGTAAGTGTAAGGCCCCAAGGGAGGAGTATGTCTGGAAAATCTGAGGGACATCAAGAGAGTGTTGAGAAGGGCAAGCAAGGAGGCGGGTACTTAAGAGATGAGGGCAGAGGTGACAGCAAGTCTGTGGGGACTTGCAAGCCATTATATGGACTTTGGTGTTCACTCTGAATGAAATGAAGCTACAGGAAGACTCCAAGCATGGGAGGGATGTGACTTGATTAGGTGTTTACAGGTTCCCTCTGACTGCCTGTGGAGAACAGACACCAGGCGGGGGTGAGGGTGGGGGTGTAGAGACAGGGAGGAGGCTGCTGTGATGGACCAGGGTGAGAGCAGTGGAGGTGGGGAGAAGTGGGCAGATACTGGCTCTGTTTTGAAGTCCAAAAATTTAAATATGGGGTTCCATACAGAAAAGTCAAGGTTATGACTCAAAGGTTTTTGGCCGGAGCAATTTTTAATGTTTCATTCAGGTCAACAGATGTCCTGCTTAGTACCCGGCCTTTGGGTAGATAGGACTAAGGAGGAACAAGGTTCAGGGTAGGCTCTGCCCCTGAGGAGGAAATTCTGGTCCTTGTTCTTCCTCGAGGCTCAATGCCTTGCCTACCCCTGCTCCCAGCAGAATTATCTAGGAACTACTAGAGACCAGGATAAGAGTCGGGGGGAGAATAAATCTGGAACAATAATTTGAACAGCAACAAAACAGTAACAGTAATAACAGTAGTATTAGATAGGTTAAGTGGTTAAAAACATGGACTTTGGGATGAAATCTGAATTTGAGTCCTGACCATGTATTCACTGTGACTTATCCTTTCTGAGCCTCAGTTTTCTCCTCTTGTCAAATGGGCATAAGCTACTTAGCCCAGTGGCACACAGGAAACGCTCAATATATATACTGTTATTCTTAATTGAGTGCCACCTATGTGTCTACTGAGCATTTACATACAGGACTCTAATCCTCACAACTCAAACAGGTTAAGTACTATTATTATCCCCATTATAGGCTAGGAAGCAATTTGGCAGGGACACAGGTGGTGAATAGTGCAGTCAAACCCTAACCCCTGTTGGTGTGACTCCTAGGGTGCAATCGCGTAATCCCAACGGTATATTGCACCTGCTCCCTGGGGAGGAAGAGGGGTGAAGGCCCAAAGAGCACATTGTGATCGATAAATAGGAGAACCTCTGTTGAGGGCAGCGTGAGGGGTAAACCGGGCTTTCTGGGTCCCTGATGTAATTCCAACCCTAAGTAAGAAAGGGGGAAACAAGTTTCTGGATTTGGATTGGTGTTGGGAGTACAATACTTAGACTAGGGTACTTTAAGAACAGAGGGCATCTGAGGGAGGCTGAGGAAAGGAAAACTGAAGGTGCTTCTACGTTGAGGCAGTAGTGACACCCGCTGGCATGTCGCCACACCCGGGATTTACCGAACGCACGTTCTGGGTTTCCAGAACCCTGGGGTTTCCAGAGCCCTGACTGGTTACTCTTAAGGTCGGCGTTCTAAGTTTCGGAGAGGGCGGACCTGGGGCGGGTTCTGCCTCCCCCTGCACCAATGGAGATGCCAAAAGCCCTTCGTGAGAAGAAGCTATTGGTCGATTACGTCCGTGTGCGCACGCCGCTCCGGGGGCGGGACTTCCCTTCGGCCGGCAGGGGGCACTCGACTAGCTAAGAGGCGACGCTTTCATGGAGGGGGCGGAGGCCGGGGTGCGGGAGGGGGCCGCTGTGGCCCAGGATCTGTTAGCCTTGGGGTAAGGGACGCTGGGTCTGGCTGGCGGGGTGCAGGAAGAAACAGGTTTGCCCTCAGAAATTCTTACTAACCTTCCCCGCCCCTTCTCGCTGCCTCGGCCCCGCCGCAGGTATGAGGGTTTCCCAGGGACAGCGGCGCTGGGCCCCTCGTGCCCAGACTTCAGGGCGCTGTGCGCGCGGCTGGCGGCGGAGCTGGCGACTCTGGGTGCCCTGAAGCGGGAGCGAGAGGAGGGCGCGGAGGTGCTGAGCGCCAGCGACGGTACGTGTGGAGTGGGAGGCTCGGAGGGGTGGAGCCCGCGTACCGCCGCCGCGCCCTGACGCCTCCGGCCTCCCGCAGGCCCCGGCGCCGAGGAGGAATTCCTGCGACAGCTGGCCGGCCTGCTACGGGAACTGCACTACCCGGACCGCGCGCTCTGCGGCGGAGACTGCGCGACCGCGCTGCAGAAACCCGGCACATGCCTGCGCCTGCTGCGTGAGCCCGGGGTGGGCCTGGGATGCGGAAGTGGGAGAGGCTTCAGTCTCTAGGTTGGGCGGGCTCAGCACATTGAGGTGGAGCCAGGGTTCCCTCGGGGACCTGGTCAGACTTTTGAGTTCGGCCAGAGGGACCGAGGTGGGTGGGGTCAGGATCTTGGGGCGGGGTTAGGGCTCTAATGTGGGCGTGCTTAAAATTTTGATGGGAGGGTCTTGAAGCTCAAGTGGGATGAAGCTGGGCCAGTGGTTCTCAAGTGGGCGGGGTTCGAAGTCCGAGGAGGGGACTGGGTCTCAAGTGGGTGGAACTTATTCTGGAAATAGAGCCAGAGTTCTAGGTGGGCGGAACTAAAAGTAAGAGGTTTTGAAGCCGCTGGAGCTTTTTGACCCCGGTGGGTGGGCTGGCAGCCCTCCTTAATTGCACTGCTCCCTTTCCCTGTTAGGCTTTCTCTGCACCGAGCTCCAGGCTGCCCGGCTCCTCCGCCTGCATCCCCAGCTGGATCCCAGTCAGGCAGCACTCCCGCCCGGTGGGAAAGAGGCAGAGGAGGAACTCATCCTTACTCTCCAAGCCCTAGGGATGCCCAGACCCACTCCCGGGACCCCTGCCAGCCGGCTGCTGTGGGAGTTGCATGCCAAGGTAGAGAGCGGGAGTCCTCTCTGCTCCCGGGCCACCCCACCTTCCTTGTAGGGGAGAGCCCTCTCTGTAAAAGCGGTTCTGAGAGTGCCCCAGCCACTGCTTTTTTTCTAGACCTGTGACCACCATTCTTGATTCCGTGTCCTCAGGGCCCATGGGGAACTGTGGTCCACAGAGAGTCCTTAACAGTTTCTGCCAAGTCAGCCTCAGACTCCTCCTTCTCTCATCAGATCTCAGAGCTGCTGCCTTCCCTGCCTCCAGGGTCACTGCAACCCCTCCTCAGCTACTCACTGGACGCACCCAGATGGGTAAGACTGTGTTTGGCTGTATGCGAACAATGTCCTCATCCAGAAGTGGGAGTGAGGAGAGAGAAAGGCATGACCAAGATCTTTCTCCCCAGGAAGCGTTGGAGTCTCTGTGCCAAAGCCTGAGAGATCAGTACTGTTGCCGCCGCTGCCTTCTCCTCAAGCGCCTGGACCTCACAACATCTGCTTTCCACTGGAGTGATCGGGCAGAGGTATGGGCAAGGACCTTGGCAGGAGCAGAGAGGCCCAGTGGTGGGAGCTACAGCTGCAGAGAGGAGGCATGAGGGCCAGGAATATTACCCTCTTGCAGGTTCTGAGGCCCAGGGCATTGTAGAATCTTGTGAGGTTTGGGGCTGTAGAACCTCAGGGCCCCCCAGGGCATTCTAGAATTCCCAGCTCTAAATATTCAGAGATATTTAGAGATGAGAGAAGTGAGTCCCTGAGTGGGGAAGAGACACTTCCAAAATGAGAGATCCCACCTGGATTGGCTCTTGGGCACCTTTGCCATCTCCCCTCTCCACACCCCCCACCACCAGGTCAAAGGGGAGGCCATGAAGGCCGTACTGATCCCAATTCGAGAGGCTCTGACCCCAGAATCGGATATCTCCATTGCACACGTCCTGGCTGCCCGAGCTGACCTGTCTTGTCTTGTCCCAGTCACAAACAAGGCTGCCCGCCAAGGGACCTGCTGTGCCATCAACAAGGTGGGTACCTGGGAGTGGAGAGGGGCCCCAGCATCCTTGGCCTTCACACTGACCTTTCAACCTCTGCCCTGGCCCAGCCTTGTCCTCTCCTGTCTGGGTTCCTGGTCTATGGATTAATCACCTCTAACCACCCCCTCCATATGGTAGTTAGGATATTTCTAACTCAGAAATCTGACCATGTCCCCTCCCTAGCTCGTAACTCACCAATGGCTCTCCAATGCCTTCAAAACGAAGTCCAACTGAGCCACTGCCCACGTCTCCAGCTTTGGCTTAAAATCCTCCCCCACCACCTCACCCTGTCTATTGTATTAGCTTTTAGCCATTTTAAAAGCAGAAATACCTGGTTTAAATGATTACATATTTAGCTTTATACCTCTCTGTTTAAATAATCTCATGTGAATGAGTATTAGGGAATACAGTCTAGCAAGATTTAAGAAAAAAGTATTTGCTTTAAGGAAATATAGTAAGTAAATCATATTATAGGTGATGCACAAGCGATGGATATTTAGGAAAAAAACAAAACAAAACATTGGTTTGTTGGAAATGTTAATACAGAGTCCCAGCTATGAAATAGACAAAAGTTGAGGTGTCCTTGTTAATATTGGTGGGGACTTGGACCTCTGCCGTCACTATTTTAGTTCCCTCTTGCTGAGGCCCCTGGAACCCAGTTTGAAAGTTCCAAGCCTGTATCTTCCACCAGTCCAGCACCCCCAGCCCCAGCTGCACCTAGAATCAACATCTGCTCTTCCTTTTTCAACCTCATGCTGTTCCCTTGGCTCTCTGACCCCCTTGTCCAGGGTATTTTCTTCTCTGAAACTCAAGTCTAATCCGCTCATAGGTGCTCATGGGCAACGTGCCAGACCGAGGGGGTCGCCCAGATGAACTGGAGGCTCCCATGCCCACCTGGCAAAGCAGAAGAGAGGATGGAGGCGGGAGGAAAGCAGGCCGCCAGTACTGGAGCCGCAAGAAGAAGAAGAAGTAGTAAAGGATGGTTGGGGAAGGGATCCCCTATGAGATGCTGACACCGTTGATAATCTCTGGGGAGTCAGTTTGAGGGCTTCTCTTGGCACCTGGCACCCGGGACCCACATCCTGTTCCTGAGGCTCCAAATGTCTTCTCCCCCATCCACCACGCAACGCCAAGGACCAAGGAAAATAAATTTAATTTATGACGCTGTAGGACCTGTCTCTGTGGGGGCCAGGTCAGGGGTGCACAGGTTTTAGAAGGGGTAGGGGATCTCTGTCCCTTGGGTTTGAACAGGCCTCTGGTGCTCTGACCCCCAAAGTCCTTTGCTCTTTAACAACAACGCATCTTTCCCTTCCTGTGGGCATGGGAATGAGACATGCAGGCATTGGGTAAACATCACTACCCACCATGTGCCAGCCTTGTTCTAGGCCCTAGGGATACTGCAATGAAAGATGTAGATAATAAAACCCCTGCTCTCCTGAAGTTGACATTTCTGATGAGGAGGGGCAGATATTCAATAAGAGAAATAGATAAAATGTATATTTTGCCAGATGGGGAAAGGACTTTGGAGGAAAATAAAGCAGGAAAGCAGGATGGGACCGTGGGGAGACTGCAACTTTGAATATGGTCAGAGGAGGCCTCACTGAGGTGACATGAGCTAAATCCCAAGAAAGAAGGCGTCATATGGGCCTCCGGGGAAGTGTTCCAGGCAGAGGGAACGGCCAGTGCAAATGTCCTGAGGTAGGAGTATTTTGGGCATGTCCAGGCCAGCATAGCTGAAGCAGGATAAATGAGGGGTGGAGTGGTGGGAGGTGATGCCAGAGAGGTCACCGGTAGATTGAATGGAATGGGCCAGTGAGGGAGGACTCTTGACTTTTACCCTGAGTGAGATGGAGCCATGTGATCTGACTCAGGTGTTCTCACAGGCTTCCCAGTTCCACCCCTTTTCTAGCCATCTCTGGAACCCGAGTTTGGAACTCTGCCCACCCTCCCTCCACCCCCACCTGACCCACTCTGACTGTTAGTATAGTACATCGGTCAGGCGCTTCCATTTTAGAAGCAGACAGAAGACCTGGGATTGAGTCCTGCCTCCAACACTTAGGAGCCCTGCTACCTTCGGTGAGCAGCTTAACCTCAACTGAGTCCGAGTTTCCTCATCTGTAAAATGGAGAGTTGGTGAGATAATGCCTAAGTCTAAATGTATCTAACACACAGCTGCACAATTACTAAGTACAGGAAAAAGGAATATGATTAATAGCTACTCTAATGCAAAATAAGTAAATAACTTGCTCTCAGGGTAAGTTGATGGATGTTTCCAGGAAAGCAGTATAGATGCGAAGGAGGCGATGCCTTTGGGGGTTCTGCTGGAGGCCGAATAATGACTTGGGACCAGCTGTGGGGGAGGGGAGCAAGGGAAGAGACCAAGAGATGTCTAGGAATTCAACTTGGAGGACTGGTTGGGTGGCGAGGCTGTTGCTGGAAGGGGGACCTGGAAGGAGGAAGACATTGGGTGATGTGGGTTGGTGTATAATGTCCAGGAGACGTTTCATTGCCAGGAGCAGTGCCTCACCCAGACTTTTGTTAAGTGGATGAATGAACGTCCCCTGTGGGCTTTTTTTTTTTAACCCAATCTGAGTGTCTCTGCCTTTGAATAGTGGAATTTGCTCCACTGACATTTACTATAGCTCCTGATATATTTGGCCTTGTTCTTGTCATCTGATTATTTTCTTTGTTTTTCTCCCTAAAATCCTGTTATGCTAGTGGCTACCCGTTTCTCCCCCTCAACATACTGAAATCTCTATTTTTTAACAACATTAAAAATTAAACAGAATCTATAACCTCATACCCAAGCAACTGAGGACTGTAGGACATTTTTACTGTCCTGTGTGTCCCCGTATCTGTCTAGTTTCTTAAGGCAAGTGGGCCAGTCTCCCCTGTATCCAGCTGGGGGAAGTGGGTAGTTCCTCCTCACCGTCTCTGAATCCCAGGAAGGGTGTGGGTTCTCTGTCTGGGTCCAAGCATGGCGAAGGTGGCACCCCGTCTTAGGTTCCAAGGTGAGTGTATAGGAGAGACTATCCTCAGAGCCTGTTTGTGGGGCGTGGGTGGGAGGGATGTGGGTATGGTGGGAAGGGCCTCATAACCTTGGGATTAATCCCTATCCACCAAGCCCCTTCCCAGGAATGCTACACCCTGGGTCTTACCACAGCTGGCATCATGGGATATTTCTGTAGGCGGGACAGGGGCTCCTGGGGGGCTCACATCTCCCTTGGCCCCTGGCCTCTTACACTCGTCCTTCACTCGGTCTCTGCAGTGTTTGTGGCAACACAGTCCACAGTCTGGGGGAAGGCAGCGGTTAGTGGCCCGAGTCCCAACCCATGCCCTCTTTCAGCCTGTAGGTCCTGGATTCCCTCCCCGCTCACCGGTGCCCCACTCACCCCGACAGCGGTAGCCTTGCTTGGTGACACCCCAGAGCTGGGAAGAGAAAGTAGAATAGGTTACCTAGGCTAGGGGACCGAGGGCTGTGGATAGGGTGAGGGCTGTGTGGAAGTGTGGAAACCAGGCTTTGGAAATCCTCAAGGCTAGAGGCTTACATGCCATCAGAGGGGATTAAAGGAATTCAGAGGATCTCTCAAGTTGGGGGAGTCATTTAGGCTATTAGGATTGGGCCACATTTAGAATTAATAACGTGAATTGTATGAGCAGGGATTGTGTCTGTTGTGTTTCCTGCCACGCCTCCCACCCCACACCCCCTGAGTCTAACCCTGAGTCTAGAGCTGTGCTGGCAAATAAGAGGTGCTCAGTAACTAGTGAATGAAAAAGCGAATTTGAGAAGTCGCCCAAGGTTTGTGAATTAGCCTTGGTTCAGAGATTGAGAGATTTGTCCATTATCCAGAGTTTGAGGGTATGCTGAATTTGGAGATTATCTAGAGTGTGAATTGTCTGGAGTCTAGAGACTTGGAGATAAATTCTGTTTGGAAATAATCTACTCAGGTTTGTAGATTTAGGTCTTTTCTATGCCTTGGCAGTTATCCAGGATGGAGGTCATCTGGGATTTGGACATTAGCTAAACTTTGGAATTATCTGGGATGTAAAAACTATCCCGTGTTTAGGATGCATATGAAATGTGGGGATGATTTGAGGCTGAAGGGTTTTCTGGAATTTGGGTTATCTGGGGCTTGGGGATTGATTGTTTAGGGCAGGGCTGGCTTCTGAGCCTGGATGGTGAGGAGCTAGGACACTCCAAGGAAGATGGGCCCCAAGGATGATAGCGGGCCGAGTACTCACGAAGCCACTACAGCTGTTACAGAAGGTGGGCTTGCGGAAGGTGACCTCCTGGAAGGTGTGTAGGAAGGACAGGCCCAGCTTGGAGCAGATGGCGCTGGCCCGGAGCAGGTATCCTGTTAGCTCCTCTCGGCTGAAGGAGCCACTTCTGGGGGCAGAGACCACGCTTCAGCATGACTGGCCCAGACCCAAGAATCCTGGCAGCCCCAGTATCCTCGTCTTTGGGGACCCAGGAGTCAGAGCACTTACCCCTGGCGGGGGGGTGGGTGAAGCCCATGGCAGGCAAAGGGGAAGTTGCCTGAGAGTCGCTCAAAGTCCTCCTGAGAGATAGTTCCTCGACCTTCAGGGTCATAATTCTTGAACACAGACTTAGGAGAAAGATGGGAAGGGAGAGGAGTAAGGCCAAATGATGATCCCCTCGGTCTTAGAGTCCCTCTGGCAGGTCAGAACTGTACAGATATCTTCCTTCCTCTGGCCCTCAGCAGTGAGACCATAGTCCTCGCCTTACCTCCACCAGCTGTTCCACATGCCGACCCAGGGTGGCCCTGTCGGGCTTGGGTGTCACGCCAGCGGCCCAGTCCACCACCAGCGGCGCTTTGAAGGGGGAGGGTGGCTGGGGCAGGGACAGAGGGGCACAGTTAGTCAGTGCATAGACTTCTGCTGGTGGTCAGAGTTCAGGGGTCAGGTCTCACCAGACTCTTGGGACAGCGGGGCTCCCGGGTGTAGGAAAGCTCATAGATCTCGTCCTCCGTGTAGAAGAGATCCAGGGAAAGCTGGGGGTGGGCAAGGTGTTACAGACCCTCTGTCTCCATCCATCCATCAACAGCCTGCACCCTTCCTGGCCCCCCACTCTCCCCCTCTTCTCTGGGGACCCCAAGGGTCCTGTCTCCCACTGAGACCCATTCACTCTCCATATCACCTGCCCCTAATCCAGACATGCCATTTTCTCACCAAGGCTTTTTTTTTTTTTTTTTTAGCTGAGCCATCCCGCCACCTGTTGGCAGCTCACGGCTGCTCAGCTCGGGCTGACTCGAACCACTGTTGCTCAGAGCTCAAACTCTTGAGGGAGCTCTTAACCAACTGAGCCACTCAGCCGGCCCGGGGGCTTTTTTTTTTTTTTTAATCCTATTTAAAATCGCAAACCCTTGCCACTTTGCATGCTTTTTTCTGCCTTAATTTTCTCTATCATACTTATCATGTAAAAGACCATATGATTTACTTCTTTGTTTTATGGACTGTCTCCCCCACTAGTGTGCCTGACTCACAGTGGGTGCTCAATAAATATTTGGACTGATGGACTTTTAGAGTCAGCAGAGCATAGGGCCTTCAGCACCACTCAGGGAGGGCCAGCTTCACAGGCACGTCCCACTTCGTTTAATGTCCTGCTATCACCATTTTGAAATCCTTAGGAATTCAGAGCCCCACACTTGGGCCCCAAAAATTATGTAGCTGGTCCTGTCTTAGGGTCTGAAAATCAACTTTTCAGTCTTATACTACACGGTCCTCAGAATCTCAGCCTCTCTCAATTTATAGACCCTTAGAATTTATATCTCCCTCTCCAGAATCCCACACTCTTAACTCATAGTGTGATGGTTCACATGTTAACACAGATTCTGAAGCTGGCCTGCCTGGGTTCAGATCCAGGTTTTACTGCTATGGGACAGTGGACAAGTGACCTCACCTCTGTGGCCCTCGGTTTCCCAATCTGTAGAATGGGCATAAGGGTTTCTGCTTTGGGGTTGTGAGGATGGAATGATGCTCTGTAGATTGTTTAAAACATGGTGCCTGCCACAGAGTAAGTGATCAGTAACTTGTTACTAGCTTTTTGCTTAGATACCTGGATACGTTAAAACTTGAAATTTTGGGCTGGTGACATGAAAAGCTCAGAACCTTGGAATTCAGAAGCATGAAAGCCCAATGCAATTCTGGAGCTCAGATCAAAGGATACTTGAGTTGCTAGGAGAATGCGGGGACTGCATAATTTATATAAAGTTCACTGTGTTCCAGATACTATTGGGTTGTCAGAAAAGTCATGACGTATTTTTTGTTTTTCGTTGCAAAACTGCATCATGACTTTTCTGACAACCCAATATTTTAAGTACTTTATGTGTATTATATTATTGTATTATGTGTATTATATTAAGTACTATTATGTGTATTCTTCTCAACCACTCTCTAACGTGGGTCCTATTATTATTCTCATTTTGCAGATAAGGAAATTGAGGCCAAGGGGTTAAGTGATTTGCTCAAGGCCACATGGCTAGGAAAAAACCCTAGAATCTCTGGTTTTCAAAGCCCACGTATTCTAGCTCTCTTCTCTCCTGGTCCTGCAGCCCCTCACCCACACCAGACCCTCCATCTCAGCACCCCAGGCTCAGCCTCCAGGAGCCCAGCTGGGCAGGGCAGCTCACCGTGAGTAGGTGCAGCAGATCCTCATTGGCACTACAGGGGGGTTGCTGCTTCTGGAGGGCTGCCAGCTCCTGCAGCCGCAGGTAGAGGCTGTTGAGCTTGGGAAGGTGTAGTCGGCCATCAGGCAACCTGTAGGGCTGTGCCTCGTGCAAGGACACCAGGTCCTTGAGGTGCACACCCAGCACAGGCAGCCGGAAGCCTGTGCAGCCAGCCCAGGTGCGGCGGTAAGAGGCGTAGTTGTTGTGGGCAGCGAGGAGCTCAGTCAGTTCCAGTAGGGCCTGTGTGGGAGGCCATATTATAGGGGCGGGGGGGAGGGATGTTACCCATAAACCAGGTTCTGTTCCTTTAGCCCCCCACAGGGGTGTAGCCTAGCAGCCTCTTGCATGGGCTTCTGAACCCCAGGGGCACAATGCCATTTTGGATACCTCCCCAAGCCCCGCCCCCCATGTCCCACATTGGCCTCAGCATCCCCCAAAACTGCTCTTCCTCTTGGTTCACCATCTGTCATTCCCCAAGCTAGAGTGATTTTTCCAAAACCCAAATCTGAGGTGCTGCCATCATTCCCAAACGTTCCCTAGCTTCCCAGTGCCCTCTGGATAAAGCCCAGACAACTTAGTTCAGCTTGCAAGGCTCGCCAGGATCTCCCCTGGGCACCTCCTGCCCTGCCACATCCTGACCTCCACCACACACTAGAATCATGAATGACTCACTCTCCCTTGGCATTCCCAGGACATCCCTAACCCATGCTCCTCCTGTGGTGGCTCAAATGTTGGCGTTCTTGGGGGCATCGTTTTACTCCCCACCTAGACTGCAAGTTCTCTGCTAGCATCTCTCGTTTGTTTCTGCTCAGGACCAGACACACAGAGAATTAGAGGGGTCAGCATGATGGGTGAATGGGCTGAGGGAGGAAGACTAGCAGAGAAGGAAAGAGCCTCAGAGTCCATTGGATTTGGAGGAGCAAGGTCTCCAGGTGGCTCCTAGGCCCAAGGCAGGGATGTAAGGGGTCGGGGAAAATTTTGTGTGGAGGGTCAGGATAGCTGACCCAATGGAGCTTTGGGGAGGGTAGTGGGTTTTCACCTTGGTGCTGTCAGGGCTCAGATGGGCGTGGGAGTCCTTGAGCCTGGAGATAGCACTATGGCACAAGCCCCCTGTGACTGCCATCAGCGTGTTGAAATTCTGCAGCTGGTGGAGCTTCTAGGAAGGAAGGGCGATGCAGAGGTGGTGGGTATCACATGGAGCACAGGCAAGTTGGGGGTTCAGATGACAGCTTCCCAGTTGAGAGTATCCCAGTTGAGTTGGGGTCTCAGGCATGTGTGGGTGTGGGCCAGTGTAGACATCTGACAGGTGAGATGTGTCAGGCAGGGGTGAGCCACAAGCAGATATGTAGGCATTACACAGAGGTCAGGCAGGTGATAGACTAATGTGAGGTCAAAAAAAAGGGGGAGTCAGATAAGTATGGGGCATTGGATAGGTCTGGGGACTAGACAGGTGTGTGTCAGACAGGTATGGGGGACTCAGACAGTTGTCAGGCCCCTGGAGGCCCGACTGCTCTGAGTCAGACAGGTGAAGGGGGACAAGAAGGCCGAGCTTTGGGCAGGAGTTAGGAACAGAGGTGAATGGGGCCAGAGTGCTATGGAGGGGTCAGATACACATGAGACAGGTGTGGGGTTAGCTGGGCATCAGGGGGAATTGTCTTGCCCACCTCTCTTCCAAATTTAAAGGGCGCAAGTCGCTGGGGCCTAAAAGTGGAATCAGGGAGGAGTGGAAGATGCTCAGGCCAAGGAGACGCCCAGGCAGACGCCAGTACTGCAGTTCTAAGGAGCTGGGTAGGGGAAGCTAGGCGGTGGGAGGTGCCAGGTGAAGGGCGTGGTCTGCGAGGAAGTACTGAAAGGGGCGTGGCCAAACTTAGAGACGGCAGGCTTCCCTTTTCTCCAGAAGGGAGGGACTGTATCTGCAGAGGAGAAGCGTGACACATGGGGCGAGGCCAAGGAGGGATCTGAAGGGAGGGATGAAGCCACAATCCCGAGGGGACGGTTGGGGTCTGAGGACTGGGGTGTCCGATGACGCAAAGGTGTGGGGCATGAAAGAGATTCTTTCACTGCTCTGGGGATAGAATATTCGGGTTTAGGGCTTGAGAGGCAGGGCCAGAAGGAACGTCAACTGCCTCATCTAGGACCAAGAGGTGGGACCCCGGTGGGTTCTACGCGGTGATATCAAGGCCAAGGAAGAAGGGCTGTCACGTCCTCGTTAGAACTACAGGACTGAGGCCTAGGGGACAGGGGCAGAGGCAGGGTGTTGTGATGGACGGGGCAGGGCCAGGACATGGTGACGTCAATGCCCGGGATGGGAGAGCGCCCAGAAAACAGAGAGGCGGGGCGGGCCTCACCTGTGCCACGTGGATGAACTTGTCAAGCACTTGTGCGCGCTGTGTGGGGCCCGGACGGCTCAGCACCATAACCTGCACCCAGCGGGACACGCTGTTGCTGAGACCCACGGATCCCTCTAGGGCCGGGCAGCCCCTCACGGAGCCCTGCAAAACGTAGTCCCGCAGGTCCTGGGGCTGGGGGTGAGGAGGACGTCAGGGCAGGCCGTGGCACGCAGGCCCTGCCCCTCACAAGCCCATTCTTCTAGTAGTCACGACCTCTGATGTCCTAGCCTGGCTGTCACATGTCCCTCACATCCCTATGGCCTTCTCCCATCTAAGGAGAAATGTTTAAATAAAGCCAGGCCGTCTTCTGAGCCCTTTATCATATTAATTTAATCTTCACATCAACCCCATGAAGTGAATACTATATTACTCACATTTTAGAGATGAGGCCATTGAAGCACAGAGAGAATAAATAATTTGCCCAGGGCCACACAGGCGTGAGTCAGGGTGGGAACCCAGTCTATTGCTTTTAAAGGTATACCTGAGTGGTATACAGTTAGCACAAGGAAGGATGCCAAGAGGACATGGAAGCAATTTCTATTTGTTCTGCTCAACAGGTCAACTTCCATGCCCATATCCACTGCAGTATGTGTGTGTGTGTGTACACACAATCAGGAAATTTTCACATTAAAAACCAGATCCCATCAGGGTGATCACTTTGTAAAGCATATAAATGTCTAATCACTATGTTTGTACACTTGAAACTAACGTATGTCAACTGTAATTGAAAAAAATTTTAAAACAAAAGCACAAAACAAAAAAAGACAGATTCCACCTTCCCTTGAAATGATGATGACAGTAGTTAACACATGCATAGGTTGAAGCATTTGAGATTACCACTTGGGTAGGTAAAATGTGGCAAAATAATGGCAATTTCAAATGGTTCTACCAGATAACATTTACTCTGGACCAGTCGCTGATCCTATTTTGAGCACTTATTATGTTCCAGGCATTGCGACATATTAATTTAATTCTCCCTACCATCCAATCAAGTATTATGATCTCCATTTTACAAATAAGAAAACTGAGTCCCAGAGAGGTTACACAGGTAGGAAGTGGCTGCTGGGTTTGAACCCAGAGGATCTGTGCGCAGCCAGCTTAACTCATTTTCCTGGACCATCTAGCATCCAAGTTTGAGGGTCTGGGATCCCTACCTGAAGCCCATGCAGGAGTCCTCTCAGTCCTGCCTGGCCCCAGTGAGGCCCCGCCCCACCACAGGCTCTCCCTCACTGGAGGGAGAGAGGTCCTTACCGTGACAGTTTGGAAGGACCGGAACTCCAGGTAAGTGAGATGCTGAGCCAGCTCCCCTGCCTCCAGGTGGTCGAAAAGCAAGGACACTTTGCATTTTTTGCCCAGGCCTGGGCTGCTCATGGAGGGTGGGGGGCCAGGGCCACCTGGGCTCAGGCTGGGGGCAAAGAGAGGCAGGGTATTGGAGGTGCTCAGGATGGAAGATGTTGGGATGTGTAGGGAAATGGCAGAGTGGGGGGTGGGGAGGGGAAGAAGAGGGGCTGACTCACAGGTTGGAGGAACCTCCCAGGCTCCTCTGGGCCGAGTTGCCCTCCTGCTTCACCGTGGCCCAGAAGCGACCTATAACCTCTTCTAACTGGGGATCCTGGTGCACTGTCTCAGGATGTTGGGTCAGCCAGTACCTGAGGATGGTTTAGAGATGGTGGGATGAGGCTGGGGGTGGGGGTGAGGGTGGAGAAGGTCTCTAAAAGGGGTCTCTTGGGCTGGGGAATCTCTAGAAGGTCATGGTTCAGAGAGCCACCAGATTGGTGTGATCTCTGGGATTAGTATTGGGGGCATCCTAAAACAGGCTGGTGGATCAATGGGAGGTAGACTGGGAGGATCTCTTGGAAGTGGAATTGCTGGGTAGCAGGATAGTGGAGGGAGGTCTCAGGAACTAAGCTGGGGGCCTCTGGGGGTGAGATGTCTTAGGGGGTCTTAGAAGCTAGGTATGTGGGAGGTGGGGGGTTTGGGGATCAGAACTGGAGGTGTTTGGTCACCAGTAGGGAGAGGGTCTGTAGGGGGCTGGTGAGGGGTCTCTAAGAGGAGAGGGTTCTAAGGAGCAGAACTGGGAGAGTCTTAGGAACCAAACCAAGGTGTCTCAAAGTGGGATTTGGAGCAGGGATGGGTGGATCTGTGGGGAGCTGTGCTGGGGAGTCTCTGGGAGGTGTTTTAGGGGGGCAGCAGGGAGAGTGTCTTGGGTCATATGAATGGAGGTCTTGACCCAGCCCTACCTGACCAGGTGACAGATCTGCAGCTGCCTCAGCTCCTGCGTGTTTCCTGTGGCTTCCCGGTACTTGAGTTCTGGTTAAGGCTCTGATATCCAGCATCCCTAACCTGCCTGCTCACCTTTCCCCATCTCTCAGACTCTCATGTCTCTGCCCTCTGCCCTTCAACCACTGCTCATGGCTCTGGAAGGATATAAGGTCAGCAGACGGGCAGCAAGGTCAGCAGAAGGCAACACCCAGCTGTGCATGGCCAGTACCATGTTGAGAATGTGATCCCCGCGGCGCAGGCTGCCAGCCGAGTCTGGAGGTGGGAGAAGAGGACTCTGTTAGAATGGCTCCTGGGCAATGGATTGCACAGTCTCCAGAGCCGGTTGGGCCACCTGGTTCCAACCCCAGTTCTACTTTTGACTCCCTGCATGAACTTGGGCAAGCAACTTGGCCTCCTTGTGCCTCAGTTTCCTGGTCTGTACTGTGGAGAAACCAGCACAGTGCCTGGTAAATCATGTTGAAGATGGAAACATCAGCAGACCTCCTCCCGCTCCGCATCTCAGGAAAGAAAAACACCAGTGTCTCTCTTAGCTCTAAAGTAGTGATTTAAATTCATTCCACAAACCCTATTTTATACCCTCCAAAACAGGCCTAGAGAAAGGTGAGGACTTGGCCCAACCTTAGGATTGGGGAGGCTGGCCAGGGAGGGGGACACTCACCAAAGGACTGAATGCATTTCTCCAGCAGCTCATCTTCACTGCAGCCACCCTCATTCAGCATGTCCAGAGCCATAGCAGCCATGACCTTGCTGATTTCCCGGGGGGTGGGGCATGTCTTGTGGCGGCGGGCCTGTCGGGGCCGGCCCCGCCCTCCTGTCTTCCCCTGGCATTCCTGGTGGGACTTCCTGTGGGCACACCCCCAGGGACTCATGAGAGCCCCTTCTTCGGGCAGCCCCCAGAATCCTTCTTGACCCCAAAGCCCCAAGGCATTATTAGAGAAGCTTCCTACAGGCAAAACCCCAGGGTTACTCCTGACCTCCCATGGACTCGTGGAAGAAAAACCCAGGAGAATTCCAGGTCATATGAGGCTTCTCCTATAGGTGAACTCCAAGAGTTACTCCTGTCTCCTTCAGGGAATCGGGAAAAGACTCTCAAGACTACTCTGAATCCCCCCCAGAGAATCATGGGAGATGACCCCAGGACTACAAAGGACCCTCCAGAGACTCATAAGAACTTTCTCCTCCAGGCATTGCCCACAAATTTCCCTTGAATGTACAGTCCCAAGACATCATGGGAGAGACTTCCTGTTGGCAGACCCCTGGGATTACTCCTCATCTCAGCAGGGAATCATTAGCGAAGGACCCAGAATCATTCCTGTCCTCCCCAGAGGGAATCATGGGAGATTCTGCCTTCAGGAAGACTCCTCAGAATTCCCCTTTGTTCTCCAATGCCTGCACCTTCTCTCCTGAGCCCTCACGAGAACAGCAGACCCCTGAGATTCCATCTCTCCGTTCTCCCCCATGTCGACCCCTTCCTCAAGCCAGCCCTTCTGCAGGACCTGAGTCCCTAGATTTGGAGCCTAGAAAGATGTGGGTGCAAAGCGGCCTCCCCAGGGCTCTTCAGAGCTGGGCGGGGTCCCTGGGCTGAGGCAGCTTTAAGGGAAGTTTAAAAACAACCCTCACTCTGCCTTGTGCCTCCCTAAAACTCATGTTTCAGCTGGGGAAAGCGGGTAATGGAGAGACAGGAATGGTGCAGGAAGGAGCGAGAAAAATCCAGGCAGAACAACCTTGGCTTCCACAAATCAGACAAATGAGGTAGGAGAAATGTATGCTCTCTGTGTGACTGTGTTAGCCACTTAATATCTCTGGGCCTCAGTTTCCTCATATGAAACACAAGAGTCATCCTTGGCCATCCCCCAGGAATCTATTGGATTGTTGGAAAAGTCATGACGTATTTTTTTCTATGTTTTTCGTTGCAAAAGTGCATCATGACTTTGCTGACAACCCAATATTATGAACATTCAATGCCTTGCTCTTCAAAAGTGCTACGTAAGGGACTTAGTTTGCTCAGGCTGTTAAGTGTCCAGAGGTGGGAAAGTTTAACTTGAGATGCAGAGAGAGAAAGTGATGGAGCAGACTAAAGCTGGGACTGGAGCATGGGGGTGAAATAAAAAATCAGAAGACCCTCGGAACAAGAGCACTGCCATGTTCCTGGGGGATCAGTATTGAATGTTGTTGAGCAACAGTTGGCATTTACTCTGTCCCGAATATGTCCTGGGTAGAGGGTGGGATCAGTGGCTCTCAAAGTATGGTCCCCAACAAATACCAACAGCATGACCTGGGAACTTGATTTAATACAAGTTCTCAGGCCCAACCCCAGATCTAAAGAATCACAAACTTTGGAGGTGAGCCCAGCAAGCTGTGTTTTACAAGCCCTCCAGGTGGTTCTGATGTGTGCTTAAGCTTGAGAGCCACTGGTCTAGACCAGGGTTTGGCAAACTGCGGCTCGCGAGCCACGTGCGGCTCTTTGGGTAGGTACATGTAGCTCTGAAGTAAAATTGAAAATGAAAATAAAACTATCATAGTTTCATTTATAAAATGTTTAAAGGATATTATTCACATAATGGTGATTTCATTTGTTTTATGGCTCTCGAATAATTTTAAAATTGTTGTGAGGGGCAGGATTGGCTCTTCCGTCTCACAAGTTTGCCGACCCCTGGTCTAGCCTGTCTCACTGAGGATTTACACGCCTCTCCGAGAAGGGATTATGATTATTCTATTGATAGAAGAAACTGAGGCACAGAGCAGTTAGGTGACTTACCTAAGATCACACAGCCAGGAAATGAAGTAGCCAGGTCTCCACCACTAAACTGCTGGATATTATAGGGAGGGGACCCATTTCCATCAGAGACATGCTGGAGGAGACCGGAGGAGCTGCCCAGGCTAGGGACCCAGGCATCATCACCCCTGTGAGGACAGGAGGGCCCGCTTGCCCAAGTGATAGAAGCCCATTCCAGAACTTACCTGCTGGCTCAGCCAGGCGATAGGCCCTTAACCTGCAAACCGTCTGCCCCCTGGAGCAGCAAGAAGTGGTTTAAGAGGCAGGGGAACCGCCTTGGGGTGGGGGCAGTGGACAGGGCCCTGCAGGAGCCTGGAGTTTCCAGTCCAGGGGGCAGTGAGTGACTGTGATGGGGAATCAGGAAGACCCCAGGGAGGACACAGCACCCAGCCTAGGGAGCTAGGGTGGGAGCAGGGTGGGGAAGAAGGGGATTCAGAGCCGCTCCAACTCCAGAGAGAGTCAGGACAAGACACAGGCGCTCACACACACAGCCCCAGCCTTGGCTGGCTCTGGACTCCCTGGAGCATCTTGCATCTTTCCACCTGGCAGCCCCTGCCCCGCCCCTGCTGCCAGAGGAGCCCCACACCCTACTGGCCTACTTAGTGCCTCCCAACCTTCCCACACAGCCTGAGGCCCAGGGGTTTGGGGCGCTCCGCTCTCTCTGAGGAGGGTCCTCTCACCTCTTGCTGTCTTTCCTGTTCATGCTTCCTGGGGGTGGGGGCGTGGAGGGGATCGTACAAGAGTCTGACTCAGCTCCTCCCACCTCACCAATGCTCCAGCTTCTTAGCCCCTTGGGAGCTGGGGCCTCCTCCGTGCTTGGGAAGGAAAGAGGAACTGCCCCTCCCCACCCAGCCCCAGGCCAGGGGGAAGGAAGACGCTGGGGAGAGACCAAAGGTCCCCCCTCCCCCCACATGGGGATCCCTTCAGGCTGAGGTTTCCGGTGCCGCTGGCCCCCACCCCCAATCGCCCAGCGGTCTCTCTCTCTCTATCTCCCCTATCTTTCTGTCTCTAGACCCGTGATTCTCTGTTCTGTCATTTTCATACTTCAACAAAAGCAGTTGTTTTTTTTAAAGAATGTCTTATATGACACATTTATGTAAAAACACACTCAAAAGAAAAGTCTCTATTTCTATAAGGACATATTCATGTATATAATGCACAAAGGTTTGAAAAAGATATAATAGTTTGTATATTTCTTCCTGTTTCTTTTATTTCTAGTTTAGTCTTAATAATACCATTTGTACCCCAGAAAACGTTTTCACTTTATTACTTTTATTGTAACTTTATGTAGTGCCTACTGTGTACCACAGACTTCTAAGGGCTTTTAAAATATTAACTAATTTAATCCTCACACAATCTTAAAAGACTGTAGTCTTATTATGAAAACGTTAGAGATGGAGGTAAACCCTCTGGGAGCCCCCTCTCCATCTCACTGTGCCTTTAGGCAGGGGTGACCAATATCACATATCCATTGCGTTTTATCTTGTCTGTTGGTTGTGCGCTTGTTTAGGTACATGAATACCCAGATTTTTGAGTATGTGTGTTTTTTTCTTTTGCCTAAATGTGTCATGCTTAACTTATTTTTTAAATTGAAGTACAAGAAAGAGCACAAATTATAAGTGTTTAGGTTGGTGAATTCTGACAAGCATATCCATGTGACATTCACATAAATCAAGAAACAACATTCCCATCCTCCACCACACCCCTCAAGCCCCTTCCCAGAGCTACCTCCCAAAACATAACCACCAGCCTGATTTCTAGCAGAGTAGTTTTGCCCGGTTTTGAGCTGTATATAAATGGAATTATTTATTATTTATTTGTTTATATTTTTTACTTTAATTTTAATTTTATTTTTTTAATTGTAATGGGGAACAGCCATGGCCATTGGTTACACATTGCTTTCATGTTATAATGGCATACTTGACTCTTTTAAGAAGGGCGCAGCTCACAGTGGCCCATGCGGGGATCAAACCGGCAACCTTGGTGTTATCAACACCACGCTCTAACCAAGTGAGCTAACCGGTCACCCCGAAATGGAATAATTTATTGTGTCTGGCTTCTTCTATTCAACATCATGTCTTTGTGATTCTTCCATGTTATTACATTTGGCTGTAGTTTATTTCTTTTTATGGCTGTGTAATCTTCCATTGTGTGACTATTCCATGATTTATCGATCGATTTTCCTGTGATGGGCATTTGATTTGTTTCCATTTGGGAGCTGTTGTGAATATGGCTGCTGTGAACATTCTAGCACCTGTCTTTTGATGAACATTAAAGTGTGTGATTCTGTAGGGTGGCTACCAAGGAGCAGAATAAATGGGTCTCAGTAATTAACATGATTCTGCCAAACCTAGTATATTAGTCAATTCAACCAAAGCTCTCTTAGCAACATGTTTTTGCTCCTTTTTTTTTCTCCTCACTAAATGAAGTCTACTAAATGGATGTCTTGTTCACACCAGAACATTTAGACAAGCGCAAAGCCCATTCTCTTGAGCTTTTCCATGACGTGATGTACCATATAGTTTCAGACCCACTCTCTGCATCTCTTCCTTTTCCTCTTCTTTACCTTTCTCTTTCCCCCAGTCTCAAGCTGTGCCCTCCATGACGTGCTGTCTCTTTGTCTCTCAGCCCATGTCCTCAGCACCTGCATCTCATGAGGTGATGTAACGCCCCTGGCTGAGCCCAGTTGTAGTGTGTCTCCAGGCTCCCAGGACTCAGAGAAGCCTCATGGAGGGAGGGAGGTCAGAAAAGGTCCTGGCATTGGTGTATCTGCCGCCCTCAAGGCCTGCGGGGATGGTTAATACCAACAATAACACCGACAACCACAAAGGAAAAGATTTCTGAAGCAAACCACAAAAACTCAAGTGGCATAAAAAGGGTGCATTTGATAACATCCAAGTAAGGATTTTTTTTTTTAATTTTTTTTCTCTCGCTACTGTCTTTCTTTTTTTCTTTAAAGATTTTTATTGGGGTATTGGGGGGAAGGGAACAGTGCTGGAGAATTGGGGGAAGGGGAACAGATAAGTTGCTGTCGTTTTTGTTCTTCAGTCTAGTTGTGGGGGACGTTGCTTCACTGGCCCAAGTTGGCACCATCATTGCACTCTTCCCGGGCGAGGCAGATCAGTCGCTGGCTTCTGGACGGCCACTTATGGCGGCTGCTGGCCGCTCACGCTTGCTGCTGGCTACACACGGTAGCCCATGGCAACCCACTGCCACAGGGGCTGCAGCCTACACGGTCGCCGGCAACAGGGCAGCCCAGCTCCAGGTTGAGCTGTTGTTCAGCATCTTAGCTGTAGAGGGCAGTGTTACTGGCCCTCATATGTGGGATCCGAACCGGGTCCTCTGGCGTCCCAAGCCAGCTCTTAACCAACGCGGCACTCAGCCAGCCCAACGTGTTAATAGTTTTAATAGATCCCTGTATCAATCAGTTACCACATGGTAGGCTCTAATTGGTTTCCTCATAGAATCTTCCCCTCAACGCCAGTAGGTGGAGACTTCCAAATTAGCCCAGTTGACAGATGAGGAAACTGAGGCCCAGAGGCATGACATTGCCTGTCTGGCAGGAGGCCCACGTGTGTGCGGCTCCCTGAATTGGCCTCTAGGCGTCACAGTTACCTGTTTTAGGGAACTGCAGAGGACTTCCACCTGAGCTCCCAGGACAGAGTTGGTTACCCCTCACAAGGCTCGTCTAGTATTTACAAAGCCCAGGGCATCCATCTGCATAAAGGGATGGCCTAGTTAGTGGCTCCCAGCTAGGCATGGAGGGACTCAGGTGGCCTCTGGTGAGAGGGAGGGTTAGAACACTGGAGTCAGGGTCTGGCCCTGAGGAAGTGGATTTTGTTATAATTAGGAGGTTTTATGCAAATATCAAGACAGTAAAGCGGAATGGTTAAGAACACTGGCTCTGGGTTCAAGTCCCTGGCTCAGCCTCTGTGTGATCTGGGGCAAGTCACTCCAACTCTCAGTGCTCAGCTTTCCTCATCTCTAAAATAGGCACTGCGAGAATATGAGGTTGGACAATTAAGTTCATGAACTCATCCTAGAAAAAGTGCTACATACCTCATTGCTGACTATCACTACGGTCACCTTTGAAGTACTCCCCTTGGGAAGCTATGCATGGACACCAGCGCCTAGTCCACCCTTCAGAGCAATTTTGGAACTCTTTTTCTGAATGGCCATCAGAGCTGTCGTCGTATTACCCTTGATGTTCTGAATGTCATCAAAATGTCTTCCTTTCAATATTTCCTTTATCTTCAGGTAAAGAAAGAAGTCATTGGGGGCCAGATCAGATGAGTAGGGAGGGTGTTCCAATACAGTTATTTGTTTAGTGGCTAAAAACTCTTTTACAGACAGGGCCATGTGAGCTGGTGCATTGTCATGATGCAAGAGCCATGAGGTATTGGTGAAAAGTTCAGGTCATCTAATTTTTTCACGCACCTTTTCAGCACTTCCAAATAGTAAACTTGGTTAACTGTTTGTCCAGTGAGTACAAATTCATAATGAATAATCCCTCTGATATAAAAAAAAAGTTAGCAACATCGTTGCAACAAGTTTGCAAACTTAATTGTCAGACCTCTACAAGATTATTGTGAGAACTACATCATTTATTCTGGTTGTGACCTTAAAACTATACATGGTAAAGACCACACATTTTTATTTCCTTCTCTAAACAATGTGAATAATGGCAGGATTGTTGTGAGAACTAAATGAAATGCAGTAAAAAGACCTTAGCTCAGGGCCTGAAATGCAACATGCACACAAAAGACATCTGCTGTGACTATAATTTCTGCTTTATCAATTTTAATAATCATAATCGGGCCGGCCGAGTGGCGCGATGGTTAAGAACTGGTTTGGGACACCAGAGGGCCCCGGTTCGGATCCCACATATGAGGGCCAGTGACACTGCCCTCCACAGCTAAGAT